CCAAATTGAAAGGCTACGCTACGCATCATCATAGAGTAGAGCATAGAATGACAGTCAACTCTTCACCTTACCTCAACTTCATCGACTTTGAAAAGGCCTTTGATAGAGGCGTTGACCGGGAAATAACTTGGCAGGCAGCTGCTCCAACACTACGTAGTGAGTGCCAACAACTATTATCAACATGATTCAACAGGTATCTGACGACACTACATGTCAAGTGATCCACAATGGCAAGCTCAGTGATGTCTTTGCAGTGAAGACAGGATGATCTTGCTGATGGTGGTCGACTGCACTGCACTGCACTGCACTGCACTGCACTGCACTGGACTGAACTGAACTGAACTGAACTGAACTGGACTGGACTGCACTGGACTGCACTGCACTGCACTGCACTGCACTGGACTGAACTGAACTGAACTGAACTGGACTGGACTGGACTGGACTGCACTGCACTGCACTACACTGCACTGGATCATGCAGGGAACTGTGAGGAGCTGTGAGAAGATGGGCATACGTTGGGTGGATCGATGTAAAGACCCAGAAGAAGATTTGGATTTCGCCAACGATGATGATTTATGTGTACTGTCTAATGTGGCACAAACTTGAAGATGTACAGGTGAGAGGTAACAAGTTGACAGAAGAGACGGGGTAGGACAGCGAAGACGGAAGGGACTTCAGGTGGACGTAGAGAAGACAGAGGTGATGAAGATACCCGATCGACTGACCGACCGACCAACCAACAAAAACGAGCACCAATCACCACCAACGGCAGAAACCTAAAGGAAGTAGTCTGCTTCACCTACCTAGGCAGGACAGCATCGTTTCAACTACAGGCAGCAGTGGCACAGACGAGGATATCAAAGCCAGGATCAGAAAAGCAAGACAAGCCTTCACTAATCTGAAATCAATGTGGAGATCTACTGTACTCAGCACAAGGCGTGAGCAAGATCCGGATCTTCAACACCAATGTCAGTCAAGTCAGTGCTGCTATATGGTTCAGAAACTTGGTATGTCACGAAAAGCACTTCCAACAAACTACAGACATTCATCAACAGCTGCCTACGCTCGTTACTGAAGATCAGACGGCAAGAATAATAAAAATAAGCAAGGGACAAGGAACTCTGACTGGCTGGCAACGAACCATCCAATAGCCTATCGCCCAATAAATATGCAGAAGGAGGAAGTGAGGATGGATTGTATTGGGCATACACTGAGAAGGCTGACTGGGGACACCACGCGCCAGGTCAGGTCATCGAGTGGAATGCAAAGGGGAAACGACGAGTTGGGTGTCCGAGGCGAGGGTGACATGGAGGAGATCATGTGAGGAAGAAATGAAGGCTTGTGGGTAGTCGTGGCGTCAGTTTCAAAGGACTGCAGAGAAGAGAGTGCAATGGAAGCGTGCTACTGAATCCCTATGTTCCACTAGGAATTCAAGGGGAAATAACAAAATAATAATAAAAAGAAACTGTAAATACTTTTAGGCTCTACCTGTTGCAAGCTCAAACTCAATGGATCTCATCTTATATAAGCTGTACTTCATTCTCAGATGTTTGGTTTTGGTTACTTAGGAAGTCTAAGTTTCTACTCCTTAAAAAATTTCAGCATCACTCTGATCAGTAAAAATGATACATGCACTCTCTGCTTTACCTTGGTTATGTCTAAGCATTTTCTCTTTGTGTACACTCATTGGTTCTCACATGAAATTGCTATTAATAAATATTTTTTTCATCTGCTGTCGTCTTCTTATCAACAGTGTGCTTACTGATAGGTAACATTGTGCGAATAAGGCCGGATAATCTTCACCATCTCTCGGTCATTTTTTGTTCCAGAAACAATCAGCGGTGAACGTGATACTATAACTCATCTATCACTCAATGAGGTCTCTCTACACTTATTTTACACAAAACAGCTGATTTAGCGTTCAGAAATATCCATTCATTGGTGAAAAACTGAGTAGCGACTGCCACCTGAAAATATTGTTTAAAAACTCAATCAGACAATAACTCAGACCTCATTATTAGCTGAACTTGAGATGAATTTCGTGAATTTCCAATGCGGAACTGTGACTTGTAAATTCAAGTAGGTCCCGATTGAGGAAGGATACTGACTGATATTATTGGATGATAGTTGAGCTATATTTCCTACTAGCCGGATTTGAAAACTATAAAGTATCCGATCTTAACTCTCTAACTGAAAGGTTATATGTTAACCGAGAGACTATAATTAGTGTCCACCGCTGATGAAACAACAGACCAGCGTCACTCTGTTTTCAATGGATCCCTCGCTGGTAGCAATTCATAACTGTAAAAAAACTACCTTCAGATTATATCTTCCTCTAAAACATCCGTAATGAATGAGATTTATGTACAACTCATACATATCTACTCAGTACTCTGGGTTTCACGATGGAAAAGATACCAGTAAGTATAGCTGGTTAAACATGAACACATAAGGATACCTACTCATTTGCATATCACGTCATGAGTTAATATATATTCTTTGTCTTTTCTCTCTCAGTTTGTCTCTCCTTAACTTTTGGGTTAAATTTATGTACAGAATGCGGGATGGTGTGAAAACAAAAAACACTACGGGTTTATTTTTAATATGTTTCATAGAAAATATTAATAATAATAACATGATAGTATTATTATTTGAATTGACTTTTAAGAATGTATTCTCTTCTTTAATAGTTCAATATGTTTGTTTTTCTATTATTATTCGTACTCGAACATAAAAGTTAACACGTACACACCACACGGTAGAATGAACAAACACACATTTACACGCAGACACATCCTCAAAACCGAAGGAAAGAAGTTGAAAATGATCACAAAACACTTGTCTGATCAATGACCGAAACCAACTTGTTAAAAGAATGAAACAAATAATACTTTTTTCTAAAAGGGTGTAAAGGAAGACAAGAACTGAAGAACCCGCATCTTCATCAATGCAGGTAAGCTTGAAAATTAAACAGCCACGGTAACTAGGTTGGTAGTTAACTAACTAGATAACTAGACAATAGGAATGAATTTAGACATCGGATGACTTATAAAGAACAAGGTTAATTTTATTTGTGTGACTATTATCGTATCAGTATTGACTGACAATTTGTACTTACAACCACTAACCTTGAAAGAGAGAGAGCTCCTACAGAGATACCTGAATAAAGTTTATTTATTTCTCCATTTGGAATTGATTTCACGTGTATTTTACCTCAAAAAAGTAGTTTAACCTTCATGATTTGGTGTGTCATACAGAATGTTTGGTAGGTCAGAACCAAAGTATACAAATGGATGAAAATGGAAAAGTATACTTGTTTGACTGCTGAAGGTGATTACTAATACAAAACAGACCTTGTTTCATCCTAGTTATCAGTTGTCAATCAATAAGGATTGATACCAGTCAGGGGGATTCTCGCTTATTGATATTCGGACTTTAATAGTAGTAGTAGTAGTGTGATTATAGGTCAGAGCAAGTAAAGTGTTAGTTAAGATTTTTCTAAGTTAATTATCTTGATATGGCATAACACTTCATACTTGGCCAAACGTTTTTGCTCAGCTCTGTTGACTAACCTCGATCGGCTACTTTAACCTATGTACTTTACCCCACAATCATCATATGCTGTATGAAACATTCGGTAATTTTGTTTAATCAGATGTAGTGAATCTTTTAATCTATAAAGTTGCTGTGTGAGTTAGTTAGTGGGTTTAAATGCCACTCTTATCTCAGTATTGTGAGGAATTCTACTTAGGATTCCCTATGTACCTTCTCTATATGGTGATATCAAAGAGCATTTGAATTCTCTTTCATGAGGACTTATAAGAGAAAAAGGGATAATACCAGTGGTAATTACGACTTGCGACTGTTCCTTTGGAGAATGAATGTGGTGTTAGATTCATTTTATTCTAGACCAAAATTACCAATAAAGTTTTTTGTTAAACCTGACACACCTTAGGTTATAAATATCAGCCATGAATACATTGTCACGCTTTTAAGACAATAACTAATAAGTAATACTGAGGAGGTGAATGAGTTAAACATAGTTCAAGAATCCGGTTAAATATAATGTTAAAGTAAGCTGTGTAATATAAGACTAAGACTTGGACACTATGGTTGAGTGTAATTTCAATCTGGTCCATTTGTTGGACATATCACACAGTGAGACAGTATTACTTACTGGATTACGTCTCGGACACAATTTATTGTCTACAGTCATACCAAGAAGATTTTGTCTTCAAGTTTTGAATTGTGTCCAAAACATAAGTCAGTAAGTAATGCTGTTTCGCTGGGTGATACATCTAACAAACTAACTCAATTAGTAAGTTGTTTGACATCAATTATGCGTTTAGTATAACGAAATGTTTCTAAGATATATATAGACGTATCTATAGCATTCAACGTTGTTTAGTCAACGCGATTTCCCTGTCTTCATCTTGGTGAGTAATAGTGGAATCCAAGGCATGCATTTCGTCTTATTCTGGACTCATCAGCTGCACCCTAATGAGAGATGTCGTTCCCACTGAAACTCCAGCCAAGTACCCATCGCTACATATGCCAAAGTGTTAATCATCGTGTCACTGGGACACGACAGCCACAGTTAACTGATTTCCTGATCCTTTATTACCAAGTCCAAAAGTTTTTCAGAGCGAGATTAACTTTATAAGTTTACTAGTCAATAAAAGATAAAATTCTGACTAATCCCAAACCATAACCTCAGTGGGTTTAATCCCAAGTCTTTTGATTACCTTTATTTCTTGTTGAATTTTTACTTAAGTAAATAAGTATTCTAAAAACAAAGCTGCATTCCTGACTCTGAGTTTGTTTGATGGCTAGTAGTGGAATCCAGGATGCGCCTTTTGTCCTATTCGGAACTCATATTCTGTTGCCATGTATTCGAAAAGTGGAGACTTGAGCTAAATATGCATAGGCAAAGCTAAAAGGAATAATAAACTGAATAGAAGAAAAATCTAATGTCTTCTAAAAGTAATGATTGGTAAAATATGAATATGAACATTCCTATCCCTGAAAAGATTCAAGAGTAAGCTGTAACTGGGAATTCCAGTTTCAATATTAACTTTCCTTTGTAAGTGCATTGTCTTCAAGAAGGACTAGAAGAGATAAGACAGTTTTTTTTAGTATCTTAATCTCAGATAAATTTATTGTAGTATCGAATATTTTCCTCTACATCCTTCAAATAAGCTGAAACTTCCTGAAATCCTTCATGATTGGTTGATCCATGGGGAATTTTCGGGAAAACGCATGTGATCATATGCTTAGATATCGGATTAGCTGAAGACGTAAAAAATAGGCGGAAAATGGCCTTCTGGAAAGGCCTAGAAATAACCAAAGTTGTATATAGTATTATATTTTAGTTACAGTTTCCGAACTGTTGATTGACCTCAAGGGTGGAATTTGTGGGTTATTTTTAAAGCGTTCACGAGTACAGATAAGAATTTTAAACTGTCACTTAGTTATTTGTAGCTTTAAAACCACATGACCCTTAATCCTTAGTTACCATTTATCTATGAAATGCTAAGTTGAAGTCCAAAGTTACACATCTTCTAGTTTGAATTACTCTATTGTTCTTCAGTATAGCAAGTAAGCAATTATGCCTCATTCTAACTTTCATATATCCTCTGGATTTGCCTATCGACTCAGAGGATAGAGTTGTAATTTCAAAATTTAGCTTCATGAAAAGTTCAGAAAGCTTTGTAGCTGTTTATTTTTCCATGAAGACCCATCAGAGTGTTCAAATCAACATGAAAATTGTCATAATGAGACATCTCCGAAATAAGTAGTTTAAACTGGAAAAGAGTACATTAAAAAAGACCCAGTATTTCTTTACTCTGTAATTTCATAGAAATTCTCTCTCAAGAAAACTATATTCGATTCTGATTCCAAGATCTTCTAGTCGGCATCCTAGAGAGCAACAAAGTTAGCAGTGTTAGTCTATACTGAAGGCTAATTTGATTTTACTATTTTCACGTCATGGTGAAGTATACCTCCACCTAATTAATCAAATCACCAGTTTTAATTTTGTGACAGATTTAAACGACTGAATAGGAAGCTTTCTAGACAATTTATTCGTGCGCACATAAACTTATAGGAATCAATCAAATGTATTTGACTAAGCTTAATCGTATAAATATGTCCTGGATAATAGGTGACATGAATTATCTGTAGTATCATCATCGTTGTATGAGAAAAATTTTCACCATTCGGTGGGCATAAATATCTATGATTGATTTGTGTCATGTGGAGACATATACAAAGAGAGGGAGAGAGAGAGAGAGAGAATTACGGTATATATGAACGACTAACTGTGTATGAATTTGCCGCCAACAAATGTCATAAATTGACAGGTTCCACATAAGTCTATACATAAGTTTACAAGCACTGCTTGTATGCCTACGTCTACATCTTCATGAATACATATTCACAGACATACCTTGTTGTGGTGTTTTTTTTTTTGACAAACCGATATTCCGGCACATCACAGAAGCTTTGTTTACATTAGGCGCAAAAATAATGTATTATCGAAAATGAATAAATTGTTGAAAAAAAGTATTATGTACTAAGGAAGGAATATTAGAATTAATCTGAAGTGATTTATTTCTATATATAGTAGCGCAGTCAAAATGTACTCAGTGCTGGTGGGTTAAAACTCATCTCATACAATGTTAAAGTGGTCATGCAAAAGGCAGGCGGTTCAGATGAAGTCCTGAAAAATGTCTTCTTTTAGCTCAATATATTATTCAACAAAATGCGAAGTTATAAAGTGCTCACACTGATCTGTGGGTATGCATAACCAGAATAGGGTAATACAAACATCAGACAGTCATTTGGCTGGTTCGTAGACAATCACATTAACAGTATACTAGAATTTAGTAATTGAGAATTTGTTTAACCATTAGAAACGTTAGCATAAACAGTACAATTTGTCAGTCATTCATCAGCTAATTACAGATTTTAGATACCCTTCCCTGCTAATTCATTTTTGCATGCCTCAACTTGGCTAAAACATGTTTCATTATTCTCGAACGACTCGTGCGTTACACTGTTCATGTTTAGTCGTTCAGATGAAATCCATCACATTTCTATCCACTAAATAGTTGTGTTGCTCAAGTATTAAATGCCTAGCTTTTGTCTAAGAACGATATGAAGTCATATCAACGAATCAGTAACCAAGCAATGTTGATTGATTTTTTATAATCATTCATTTCATCCCTCCAAAGCTGTAAAGCTGGATTCCCATTTATCAGAAATCTAGAAATCATCAACAAACAAGTTCGATGGTCGGAACAAGTTTCTACTACTACTACTACTACTACTACTACTACTACTACTACTACTACTACTACTACTACTACTACTACTACTACTACTACTACTACTACTACTACTACTACTACTACTACTACTACTACTACTACTACTACTACTACTACTACTACTACTACTACTACTACTACTACTACTACTACTACTACTACTACTACTACTACTACTACTACTACTACTACTACTACTACTACTACTACTACTACTACTACTACTACTACTACTACTACTACTACTACTACTACTACTACTACTACTACTACTACTACTACTACTACTACTACTACTACTACTACTACTACTACTACTACTACTACTACTACTACTACTACTACTACTACTACTACTGCTTACATTGCTACTACTCCTGAAGGTAAAGGGCAAAGGCTGAGTCACAAAAGGAGTGTATACTACGACAATTTGTACATTACCGATAAAATATTGCAACCTCTCATTGAAATATCAGTTTACACAATATGTTTAAGTTCATCTTTTTCCTCCATCTTATATTACTATTGATACGGCTATGTCATCTTTTGCTCTTCTCTAGGCAGAATATTTGTTCATCTCTTGTAAGTGCCTAAAAATTCTGATCTCTCAACATAGACTGCTAATGTGCATTCTTACCAGTAGTACTCACTACACTACTACTACTACTTAATAAACCGCTGTTGGTCAACTAGAGCTTCTGAACACATGCGCAAGGACCTAAGAGGAAGGAGTTCACAGTACTGTGGACAACGCAATGACACGTCATCTGATTGTTACTGGACACAGAATGGACAGTCTCAAATTGCCCGAAGTGGTCACCAGACGAAAAAATCCAAGTCAATTAACTTTTAACGAAGTAATGATCATCAAAAGATTTAAACCAAATCTATTTATTCAGAAAGGCATAATTATTATTAGTTTGCAATAAAATATATGCAAACTTTTGTTACATCACTAAACCTTACATATCCTTGTTCTGTTTCAAACCTTAATTTGTTATCTAAACGTTGTTCATCTTAATCTTCAGGCTTTGGTAAATTCAAATATTTTCCTTAGTAACACCGTCGACGGTAGTTATTTTTCATTTCTTGTTAGTTGATGTTTCTATCCACCTCCGGGCTTTATGTTTAAAGAATATTCACTCCATGATTCTATAAATGGTCATTCTTCTCCTTCAATTTAACTATTTGCATTATTCATTATACATGTTTCTGGTTTATCATATCAGTAACTTCTTGTCAAGTTAGTAAAAGTAGGTACAGCTTTTGTAATTTACACATTTTGGTATTATGTAGTAAGCGGTTGAGCAAAATCGTCGAAACAATAACAATAAGCGTGCATTATCCTGCTACTCATTTTGATGTTGTTGTCCTGTTCGACTTAAAACTCCAAGTGAACAGGTAAACGCTTCCTCAAAATGAACGTCCGGATAGAACCTGCAAACGAACATAATTCGTATAACTAAAATATAGCCTAAGACTCTTGGAATGTAATTAGGCTTGCTGCGATTAGATGCAAAAGAAAACAGAATTGTTCTCATGAAGACGGTAAAGGAACACATTTCAACAGACATTGATCACTTCAGTTAGATGGATCAACAAAGATAAGTACCCCAGACAAAACAATTATAACCGATATATTGGCTTTTTTTAAACTTTTTGAATGGTACTCTGTAGTACCAAGTTGTAAAGTGTGGATTTAAGTTTCTTGAAGAACGCCATCAATGAATTTCAAATGTGTTTAGAGGATGAGTCATGAATATCACAAATCTGTTGGATAGGAAATAATTCACTGGTAATTATTAACTGGCTGTAGTATGGGTTTCATAAACTGCTGACCGAAAACTTCAACTGGAGGAGAAAAACTATATTCGATGTCAGGATAAATGCGAATCACGGAGGAGTATGGTCATGCTATATTGAAAAGTAATCAAAGTTGAAAACTGTTGACTATATAAATCAGACTTCCCAGCTCACCGGTGATTTGAGGAATATCAAATCTGAAGGCCATACACCAGCTCCTTCATGAGAAAAAGAAGCGTACCGATGGGAAAGGGACCCATAATGAGTCATAATGACTGTTTTCTTCCTTCAGATTTTTAATATTTCATCAACCAGATTCACATCACAATTAAAACCAACTTTATTTACATTCAGTTCTCAAATAAAATATATCATCAACATGTAAGACTAGTTACTTAGAGAATTTTTGCGGACGATACATTTTCGATGAGTTTTTGTCATTTATTAAGAATCTCTGCTTGAAAAATGAATTGGGATGGAAAGTAGCATGAAGTGTTGTCAGCTAAACAGTAAGATACCCGATCTCCTACATTCTTGAAATATTATCTACCATAAGATCATACATATTTTATATTGGGTAATTACTGTACAAGTAATGATCATGTGTCCTAATAATGAATTCACTAAACAACCTTTTTGTCCCAATACTTACATATTACGCGGGTTCTTTTTATTTCCGAAGATTGAACTGATGAAACGAATTTCTTAAGTAATTATCATTAAGGTAAAATGCCTTATAATTGTCAGTCAACCATTGTTGTGATATGAATTGTCTATTCAGTTGTGATAAGGTTTATCCATTTCCATAATGAGATAATAGAGGTTTGTAACTCAGACTGTGATTGAAATTTGTTCAGTCTTCTCTAAGGTTTCATGTTTGATAGGGTTTTACAATTTTACATCTAGCAGGACAGTCGGTTAGTGATCTATACACGCTACTTTTCGGCAGAATACCTTACCATAAATATTTATTTTACTACAGGTTTCTTCTGGAGTAGCAGTTATTTGGTAGGTGAAGTCTTCCCATTTCTGGGTGCATGAAAGTAACAGAGGAGACGTTTAACTCAATATAAAGATGATGAATGTTTCATATTCTTCTAAATAATAGTACAGTTAAAGATATCTAACTCATACAGCAGATGATAAACCACAGTAGTGCCAGACACTCAAAAACAAACATTAGAACAGATCATTGGAGCAGATATGACGAAGAATGGTAATAGAATATAAAAATTTAGAGAACTTGGTATACTTTTCAGGTTTCTGTTTATCCTTTTTTGCCCACCATTTTTTTGATAACAGGGAGAACAATAAAGCAGATCCATAATAACAGTAATTTAGTCTGAAAGAAACAGCTTATAAATGATTACCTACTAGTTAAACTAGTGAATCTAGTTAGGACACATGTGTCCGGTTTTAAGAGAAGTATTACTCGGGTTGACATATTTTATGCAGGTTAATGTTAGGACATAAATCATGAATTCTATAAGCTTCTGTTTATTCGGCTTCCTTTTTACATTTACCATTTGCTGCGTTCTTTTTCTTTTCCATTTATTTCACTTTAAAAATGTACATCAAAGTCGACAGGAGAAGGATAAACAACACGCCATAATATACAACTACAACATTCAATAGTCTAATGTAGATGAGAATAACTGAATTCATCCATGTGACCAACCACTTATCTGTCTAACCTACCTTCTTACTACTTCAACCTGACTACAAGTAAGGCTTGATGAACACATTCTTTATAAATATGCCTATGAAAACCAAATGTAGAATTCTGAAAACTTATTGCTAAATGTTTCTTCCATTTATTCGAGTTACACAAAAACACAGAACACAACTCACCATAGTGAAGAACACGAAAAAGTAGGCTGATGTTAATAAAGTGATATTTTCAGCGTTATTAACATTTAAGTATGCATATTTGCATATTAGCAAAAGAATACCCTCCTGGCTATGCCAACCTTTACATCCACTTTTTCACAGTGTTGTTTCACATTCGAGGCTGTCTGTAGGTGGATCAGTTTTTTGTGCTGACCTTTCATTTGGTATTTCAATGACATTTTCATATTCTTCATATATGTTTCTTTTCTTTTTCTTTCTGAAAGATGTTTCTTTCAAGGTATGATCTGTAAAGCAAAAAACAACATTTTTTGACTACTAGATTTATAAGTTTATTAGCCTGTTTATATAACATTCGACAATTGGGTTGCATACAAAGAAGCTAAATATATAATTCGAATAGGTAACGTGTCCTTTTTATGCTGGAACAATATGAAGGCTATGTGAACAACTGGCATTAAATTCACTGTTACAGAGATGAATTGTATTTGAAGGAAAATTTCTATTCTGACTGAATATGAAGCAGTGTACTTTGCTTTGATAACCCCAATCACACAGCGGATCAGCTGTGCGCTTTGTTATCTGACTGTTAACTACCTCTAAAGCTTGCTTCACACAATTAGCATTTTAAGTCGGTATTCATCATGAACTGACATCATTTGGAGAATCACTGAAAATTATAAAGTACCGGATAATTATTTTGTCCCAGATCGAGACTCCTCAGTAGTGTGTGCTGTTGACCCTGCCCCCAGGGATGGAACTTGGGACCTTCACTTTTCGTGGCTAGCACGCTATCCAGTTCAGTTATTAATGAGAAGCTCTACTGTTGATTCTTCACTAAACTTGAAATTAAATGGATGACTGAACTATTTGTAAATGGATCATGTGCATGAGATTCCCTCCTGCAAAATCTGGTACATACATGTGATGGGGGAAAATTTAGCTTCATTATAACAAATATTCTGAGTTTTGTAATCTGCAGTTCGTTTCAATAACGAATAGAAGATTCAAAATTTCCATTAGGATCTGAACAATAATCTAGCTGTAGGATGATAACTGTTAAATGAACTGTTCATACCATTTTGCTTATCATTGTTAACAGTGATATCTAGTGACACTTAACATCGAAGTGGATGTTTTGAAATCAAACTCTTTTATGGCGATCTGTTTTCACATTGGATTTGTATAGATCATAGCACTTATGAAATTTCACAAAAAATGTAAGGGATTCAGTATTACTGCGTCAAAACTGGGGGGGGGGTGATCCTAGTTAATAAGTTACATATATGGGAGTTCTGTAATATATACCATATTACAATGATTTAGAGAATTTGTAGCTAAGTACGTTAATGACAATGGTTTGGTGTTCTCTGAGATTTGACATTCGTTTATGGACATTCCACAGTTACTCTTTATGACGTTATCAACACTGGCCTTCGTAGTGAAATGAAGCTCAGTCTTTGAACCTCCCCTACTTTGTTGTTGATATAAGTGTATATTTATTTCACAGCGGCAGTTATCACAGATTGAGATCACTTGGAGAACCACTGGAGACCTGGGAGTATCGGATGCTGGTTTCCTCCCAGTATGGGACTCCTCAGTAGTATATACCCACTACCCTGCCGGGCATCGGACTTAGACCTCCAGGTCTCTCGGCGAACGTGTTGACCATTCCGTGACTGGGTTGGAGTTTAATAGTTCACAGTTTACTACCTCTGTCAGTTCGCTGTATAGGGCGACTATCCACAACGGTTTTCAGTTGGCGTCAGCTTCACTTCCGACTAGTTGACCCCATTATTATTATATTATTATTAGTCCCTTGGGTTCCTAGTGGAACATAGGGCTTCAGTAGCACGCCTCCAGTGACCTCTGTTCTCTGAGATCTTTTGAACCTGGTCCCACGACAGCCCACAACCTCTCATTTCCTCCTCGCACGACCTCCTCCATGTCACCCTCGGACGTCCAACTCGTTGCTTCCCATGGGGATTCCACTCGAGGGCCTGCCGCGTGATGTCCTCAGTCGGCCTTCTCAGTGCATGGCCAATCCATCTCCACTTCTTCCTGCATATTTGTTGGGTGATAGGTTGTTGGTTGGTTCGTTCCCAGAGCTCCTTGTAGCTTATTCTTTCTGGCCATCTGATCTTCAGTAGCGAGCCAGCGTAAGCAGTTGTTGATGAATTTCTGTAGTTTATTGGAAATCCCTTTCGTGACGCGCCAAGTCTCTGAGCCATACAGGAGCACTGACTTGACGTTGGTGTTGAAAATCCGTATCTTGTTCCGCATGCTGAGTGCAGAAGATCTCCACACTGGTTTCAGGCTAATGAACACCTGTCTTGCTTTTCCGATTCTGACTTTGACGTCCTCGTCCGTCCCGCCTGTAGTTGAAACAGTGCTTCCTAGATAGGTGAAGGAGGTTACTTCCTTTAAGTTTCTCCCGTTGATGGTGACTGGAGTTTGTTGTTGTTGATGATGGTGGTGGTGCGGTATCTTCATCACCTCTGTCTTCTCTATATTCACCTGAAGTCCCGTCTTCTCTGCCTCTTCTATCAACTTGTTAGTTTTTGCCTGTAGATCTTCAAGTTTATGTGACATTAGGCACAAGTCATTGGCGAAATCCAAGTCTTCTAGGTTCTTTTCCGCAGTCCAGCGTATCCCCCTCTTCTCGCTGCCTACTGTTTGCTGCATGATCCAGTCCACCACAATCAGGAATATCATGGGGGATAGTAGGCAGCCTTGTTTCACTCCTGTCTCCACTTCACTTCAAAAGCATCACTGAGCTTCCCATTGTGAATTACTTGGCTGGCATGTGGCATCTTCATACAGTTGTTGAATGAGGCGGATAAAGGTTTGCGGTACTCCGTAGTAATGAAGCAGTTTCCAAATTACCTCTCGGTCGACACTGTCAAAGGCCTTCTCAAAGTCGATGAAGTTGAGGTAGAGAGCTGATTGCCATTCTATGCTCTGTTCTATGATGATGCGTAGTGTAGCGTTGCAATTTGGTCTGCACATGATTTGTACTTCCTGAAGCCTGCCTGTTCCGGTGGTAGTTTTGAATCCAGTGCATCCTCAAGCCTCTCCAGGATGATGCGGCTTAATATTTTGCTTGCTCTGGGTGGACAGGAGAGTGATTCCTCGCCAGCTCTTGCAAACACTGAGGTCTCCTTTCTTCGGCAGTTTGACGAGGTGGCCCTTCTTCCAATCAATGGCCAGGTACCTTCTCTTCCTTCCATACCTTCTGCAATAGTGGTGTGAGCATGTCCGCTGTTGTCTCTGCATCTGTTCTCAGTGCTTCTGGCGGTATTCCATCTGGTCCTGCTGCTTTCTCACATTTCAGTAGCTTTATGGCGTTCAGGACTTCCATTTTCGTTGGGGGATTTATGTTCACTTGTAATTCAGCGGCTGCAGGTGGTATTTCTGGACGAAGTGCAGGTGTTGGTCGATTCAAGAGCTTCTTGAAGTGGTCGGCCCATCGTTGCCTCTGTTT